ACAACCGAGCACCCAACAGAAACAACAACTGCAGAGCCAACAACACCCACTGAAGATGTTGAGTGTGGTGCTCCGCCGTTTGGCATTGAAGAGGATTACTGTGTACCATTGGGCAATGGCTTCTACGAATACCCCTACGATTGCAGCGCCTACATCAGCTGTCGCCATGGCTGCACGTACAAGGACTTCTGCATACCCGATAAACTCTTTAATCCAATTTTGCATATATGCGACACGCCCAATTCGGTGCACTGCAATCCTAAGCCGTATCCAACAACAACTATAGCCACAACGCCTGGATCCACAGAAGACCCGAGCACTTCGACCAATGCAGGACAAGGCACAACGCCTGACAGCAGCAGCACCACCACCACAGTAGCAACGACAACAACACCAGCCTTGCCAGCCGATGTGGATCCCAATCTGTGTGAGGGCTTGCCCGATTACACACGCTTCCCCTATGCAGCCGATTGCTCTCAGTTTCTGCAGTGCAGCAATAATCAAGTGATAGTGGGTCAGTGTGTTGAGCCGCTGCTCTTCAATCCCGATTTTCTAATTTGTGATAGCGCGAATGATGTTATCTGCTACGGTGATCGCACGACAACCATAAGCACAACCATCACCACGGAAGCGCCCACAACGACAACTAGCAGTACAACGGTGACGACCACACCCATCACAACAGCCGGACCAGACAAGCTATGTGCAAATGAACCATTTTACACTACATTCCCGTATGTGCAGGATTGCACATCGTACATCCTATGCCTGGGCGATGGCGAATACTATATTGCAAAGTGCATTAGTAATACGTACTATGATCCAAAAACTGGCGATTGTGGACCAAATGTGTCGCCGACAGCTTGCAGGGAGCAGGACAAAACTACAACAAGTACAACCGAGGCCACGACGGAAAAAACAACAACGGAAGTTGTCACCAGCATTTCGACACCCACCACAAGCGTGGCAACAACAACAAGCCCAGCTCCTGGGCAACCCGGCGGCATATGCGGCAGCAGGGATGAAGGCGAGCTGATTGCCTATCCAAATGACTGCAGCAAGTACATTGTCTGTGTGACGCCAATTCCGGTTGCCTTCTACTGCAGGCCCGGCTCCTACTTCGGCGCCAAGCAGCAACAGTGTGTGAGCTGGGAGGACAGCGATTGCGACAAGGACACGGCCACGACACCTGGTTACACAGGGCCGCCATTGGAGCCGACAATGTGCACGAACAGCAGTCGGGATACGTTCCCCTATCCCGAGAACTGTCAGTGGTTCATACGCTGTGTGAACGATTACATCTACATGATGGATGTGTGCAACTGTGGCGAATACTACGATCCGATAAGCTGCAAATGCGGTGCGGACGTGCCATCCGATGCCTGTCGCTGGGACTATACTTCAACAACAACCGAGGCAACGCCGACACCAACAACGACAGAGCCAACACCTGTGACGCGGCCACCCCCGCAAAAGGGTCCCTGCGATGATGCGGTTGATGGCGAACTGGTGCCCTATCCCGACGACTGCTCCAAGTACATCAAATGCGATCGCCCAATAGCCGCGGCATATGATTGCGCTGATGGCGATGAGTTTAGCCCCGTCTTGCGTGAATGTATGGAGGCTTCGCTCGCCAATTGCACAGTTGGCACAACGCCAGGTCATACGGAATCAACAACGGGTCCAACTACACCCAGCTGGCCTGGTTCAACAACGGGCAGTGACACGACAACTGACTCAACTAGCAATCCAGCCTCAACCACAACTCCCGAAACTTCCACAACTTCTGAGACTTCCACAACACCTGAGACAAGTGAGCCCAACAGCAGCACATCCCCTGAAACAACAACAACCCGAAGGACTACAACGCCAGCACCCTCTGGTGGCATTTGCAGCGGAAAGCCCAATGGAACTCTAGTGCCATATCCAAACAATTGCGGCAAGTATATTGTTTGCCAAGAGCCTATCCCCATTGGCTATGACTGCCCCGAGAATTTGGAGTTTAGTCCCACAGAATTGGAGTGTATGGATCCGGAATTGGCCAATTGTGAACCCAAACCAACTACGGCGGCAACAACAACGCCCACAACAACAGAATGGACAACGATCCCTCCATGCGACACATCACCCAACACGACTCCAACAACTCCTACGACTACAACTACGCCAGATACCACAGCCTCAACAACATCCGAGACTAGCGAAACGGATTCTACGAGCACAACACCCGAAGCATCAACCCTAACAACTTTCACAACAGAAAGGACAACGACCCCTCCATGCGACACATCACCCAATACGACTCCTACAACTCCTACGACCACAACTACGCCAGATACCACAGCCTCGACAACATCCGAGACTAGCGAAACGGATTCTACGAGCACAACACCCGAAACATCAACCCTAACAACTTTCACAACAGAAAGGACAACGACCCCTCCATGTGACACATCACCCAATACGACTCCAACAACTCCTACGACCACAACTACGCCAGATACCACAGCGTCGACAACACCCGAGACTAGCGAAACGGATTCTACGAGCACAACACCCGAAACATCAACCCTAACAACTTTCACAACAGAAAGGACAACGACCCCTCCATGTGACACATCACCCAATACGACTCCAACAACTCCTACGACCACAACTACGCCAGATACCACAGCGTCGACAACACCCGAGACTAGTGTAACGGATTCTACGAGCACAACCACAACGATTCATCCAGATACACCCAACATATGCTGTGGTCATCCTCTAGGTACAATTCTGCCCTATCCTAACGATTGTAATCGTTATGTTGTCTGTGACTATCCGATTCCCTACGCTGTCGTGTGTGAAGAGGGAACACTGTTCGATTTAGAGTATCTGCAGTGTACAACCAACGGCAAAGGATCTTGCATTTAAAAAAAAGAGCATTTGAAACTACGAATTCAATGCTCAAACCAAGAAGTTCCATTTTTTTTAAATTGTATCTACTTATATTTAAAGTATCAATAAAAATAGAGAAAGCACATGAATATCTAACAAGGTGTGACTCTTTCCCACTTGCGAAATCAATTGCCTAAATGCACAAATGCAAATCCATTTCAGACGCTTTAACAGCAACTTTTAGGGCCTCTGAGAGCTACTCGAAGTGCTATCAATTACACGTAAACCCTTTTTAAAAGCATTGCCATTACAAATCCCACACAAGTAAAAAGATAATTTGCCACTTAATATCGAATCCCAACGGCAAGTCGACTAGGAACAGGCGCGCGACAAACAGGAAGCCCCACAACACAAGCGAGCACAAGCCAGGACATTTTTAGCAACAGGCTAACAACAAAATTGTATTCGTATTGGATAATATCAGTTACAAGTTTCAGCAATTTATCGTTGCTTGATTTTGCCAGTCGTCCTCCCTCACGCAACCCATACCGCTTGCTTGTCGTTCCCGTCCACATCCTTACCTAATCAGATTTCAAGTTTGGTCACATGTAGCACAATTGGCTAAGGAATTATATTTGGGGTGGGCAAATACAGTGTACTTTGTTGTTGTTCCGTCTGTGTGTGTGTGTGTGTGTATAGAGAAAAAAAAAATAGAAACACGACTAGAAATGTTGTGTGACAACAACAGGGAGACAAATAAACACATTTGGAGCAAATTGTTTGGCAATAATGTTAACCTAATGCGTTCCATTTGTCGCAATTCAAACGATAGACACGCATTGCGATTCAAGTGATTTGTTAGTTCCCCAGGGAGGAGAGAAGAAATCGCTGCCCTATCAAAATGAGCTTGTACTATAAACCTGAAATCATATATATATATTCGTAATCCACTGAAAATCATTTACCAATTTGGCAGCACTTGGCTGTCTTCCAGATCAATGGCCAATTTACATAGTCCAGTCGCTGGGTCATAGAGCATCCTTCATAGTTTGCAGTAAAAAAACAATTTAGTCGAACATTTATTTTGCTTGATTTGAAACGGAGCCAAGTTTAAAGTGCTGCCAAAGCTGTTGCCCGAAATTGGGCGAAGAGCCAAACTCATAAAGCACGCCCATAAATGTCACACTTGGCGTATGCTTAATATGAACATAAACAAGATAAAAGAGTTTGCTATTAGAACTTTAAATGCCACTAAACTTATATGAACCGCATACAAATTTTGTGACAATTTCCAATATGCTCTAACAACAACACAAATTAATTATAAGCAACTATTTCATAACTTTGTATTATTGCTGCTGAAATCCATATCTATGGCATCAGAAATTCATTTTGTCAGTTTGACAGTCTTGCAAAACTCTAGCAAATGTCAGTTACTAAAAGTTTAGTCAGCGTACAATTAGCGAATTGGAATGATATGTTGGTATTTTATGACTACGACAGACTACCCCACAGCCAGTATGCAGAGCAGCATTACCATAAAACTTTTGCTGTGCATATTAATGTGCAATTCCATTCATTGACGGAAAATATATTTTATGCTACCCGCGAGAATTCGCCGTGTTTCGCAACAGATAGACAGAATCAGAGCAACACACATACAACACACAGACACACAAAACACGCACACACATGAATAGCTAAGCTTTAAACCCTTTTGCACATAAAATATTGAATGTATAAGTCGGTTTTTAAAAGTGCATGACTAAAACTGGCAGTTTGCAATAATATTTGCATTTAAGCAAATTCCGTAAAAATATTTAGAAATTACTACAACAAAAATGTAAACAAATCAAAAACAAGGGGCTTATGAATTTATAAAAATTGAATCATATGGACTGTTAGGAATTGCATATCCAAATTGTATATCGATCGATGGCATAGCAAAACTCAAAGTTCCAATTGGATTGCTCGATGTGTTTGCTTTAGCTTGTATTTATTTGATTCTTTAACAGATTTTGTTGTGTGAGTGTTATTTGATTTTTCTTAGTTTGATAAATTTCATTTTATTACATTTGAGAGTGCAAGTTAAAGTGCGAAATTTATTTTGCACATTTCCTTTACTCTTCTTCCCCAATTGGCTCCTCCTCCTCGACAATACCCTGGTAATCTTCATCGCTTCCTTCTAAATCAAACTCTTCAGGCAGATTATCATACTCGGGAACTCCGCGCCACACACCGTTCCAGCCAGGATACCAGCCAGGATTCCAGCCAGGATTCACACCCTGGTGCCTATGTGGATCAGCATTTGCATTCGCAATGGAGTTTGAAATGCCCGAAACGATCACCGAATTGTTGCCAACTCGAACAGTCGAATTTGTCTGCTGTGCCAGCTGATGGGCCAACTGGGACAGAGCAGTAGTCAGTGCCGCCATATTAACAGGATAATAGTTGGGTACGAACTGTGGCGCCGCCAGAGTGTAGGCGAATATGCTGCCCAGGAGCAGGGTTACAACTGACACGATATGCATGGCTGGTCACTGGCGCTGCTTGAACAAGTCGTAAGTAACTGTGCTTGCCGTCAGCCCCATCTAAGTTTTTATACGAAAAGGCACACAAGATCTTACAGCAAAGCTTACCACACATTGATATAGCATTTGTACAAATTGTAACTGGGTTAAAGAATCTTTCTAAATTAAAACAAAAAACGTTTCAAAGTCGTCAAATATTTAACGATCGAGTTGGGCTCAAGTCGAGTCGCATCAAGGTGACAGCTGCTCTTAAGCAAATACTGTCTTTTGGGCCTATCGAATGAGCCCCATTTTACCTTTAATTACATCACACCTTACAAAATTTCTCAATCTTTATTTAAATGTTTGCTTAGCAAACAAGTGTAAATGGTTGAGTCGGAATTGTGGCTGTTATTTGTCTTCATCGATTTGCAGTGCAGCGCACAAGATACACAAAAATTAAAACAACTTCATTAGTCTTAGGTAGAGTAACGGTAGAGTGTCTATTATGTTTCAGCCCCGCAACGTCACAAAATAAACTTGAAGTCCCTAGGCAGCATCTTCTTGATAGGCGAATTGTGAGCAGAAGGAAAATATATAAGTATTTTAAATGGGCATCATAATCCACAAAAGATCAATATAAGTAGCTGCTTAAAAATGTAATGTGGATCCATTGTTTGTTCTTCACATAGTAGGGCTACACTACACTTGTTAGGTACACACATAGTTGGATATAGTTTGTGAGCTCTAACTCTCTAAAGAGTTTATGCTTGCGAGCAGGATATTCATGATAAGATGTTTTTCTGGTTTATCAAACGAGCTTAGGAATTGAACATAACCCTTAATAAACAAAGTTCGCAGCATCCAAAACTTTGATTGTAAATTCAGTCACAAGCTATAGAAAAATAACATTTGCTCAGTTGAGCAAAAATCCATCCACTTATCATCAACAGCAAAGTGTATAAAACCGGAGCGATTACACGCGGTAATAACACGATCCGGTCATATAAAAAAACGCTCACAAATTTAATGTCGCTAAGCGAAACGCTTAGGTTTTTATGTTGGGGATACACAGTCACAACTTCAGCTCAACCATATAACAAGTCGGGCAACAATATTCATAAAGGCGCGCATCATCATTATTTTGTCGGGGGCAGCGACAGGGGCGGCGCTAGGGGCAGGGGTTGAGTGTGTGGGGTGTCATGTAAACAAGTCAACAACAAATTATGAGTCACGCAACAAAATTTGATGTACTGTGCACGTTGATTGAAGATTGTTGGGCCCGAGTTGAACGTTGCGTATAAGCAACGTGTGCAGCAGCAAAAATAAAAAATAAAAGAAACAGGAAAAAGTTGTATCTTAATTAAATAGCGCGTTGAATATAACGAAACGACATTTTTAATTAAATGAGAGATGCAAATGTAAATTTGCCACTGGTGCTTTTTTTTACTCCAGGTTTTTCCCGTTTTTCCTGTTTACCTGCGGCCGCAGACATTTTCGCATTTACAATTTCTTTGTAATTTGACTTTTTGCCCTGTTCAAGCGGCAGCCGAATGGAAAGTGGCAAAAGTGAAAGTGGATATAAAATTAATTAACCGCAGCCAAATGTACTCGTGCATGTTGCATGTGATGAGATTTCTATTAATTTGAGAGCTCGTTTCAATTGGAGGCGAATCATTGAGCAGAAATGTTTGCGCACGCTTTTGAGTTGATTTAATTAAACTTTTTGCGCCTTCCATTGATTTGTCGCCTAGCCTGAGAAATCGACAATTCCTTTCATTTATTATGTGCGCCGAAAATTGCGATTTAAACTGCAAGCCAGAGAAACTTTACGAATTGCAAATTTTGTTGTTTTACAAACAGCCCGCAATTGCCTAGTCGCTGTTTTCATAACCCAAACTTCAACTTGCAACTTCTGGCTTGAGGGGAAAGTTTTTACCATGACATGTGCAAGACTTACACACACTCACAGTCGCGACTCGTGTGACTCATGACTTGTGTGTTTATTTAATATCTATTCTCGTAAAATAAATTAAACATTCATATTCCGTTTATTTACTTAGGCAAATTGAGTTTCCACAGTTGACATGCTGAATACGCAAAAAACTCCACACTCTGAGGTTGCGGAGAGCGGAAAGAAGACAGCCCCAAACAGGCAGTCAAATGCGCGAGGACTTCAACTTATCACAGAGTCATCTGATAGATGGCAACTAGTGGGGGGTTTGGCAGGCGTGGTAAACAGGAAACGAATGTCTGTTGCATGCACAAGTGACAAATGTCATGAAATATTCAATTGGCCAACATCAGCAGAGCCCGCTCTGGCAAGAGAAGCTACAGCTTTGAATATTTTTAGGCAACCACTTCAAAGCGGAAGAGTTTTACAAATTTGCAGAAATAAATATATATATGTGTGCATGTATGTACTAAAGTGAAGTTACCATAAATCATTATGACCGAGTTATACACTTCAATTAGCTGAATTGAGGTATTATGCAAGTAGGTAGTATGCAAGTTTTGTATATAAAATGCGTATCTATTGATAGTTTGCTTGATAGAAACTAGCTTTTATGAAAGGAGGAATACGGAAATGGGAGTGTTTACTGTTATAGAATTATATATAAGAGTGAAAATAGCCCGATGTCGCCTAGGTCAAATAAATATTCGTGTAAATGCAAGTTGAATCGAAAAGATTTCTATAACTTGCGCTAGATAAAAGGCCGTAAATACAGTCAATTGCACAAGCAAAGCGTTTCTTTTGATTTATTAAAGAATACAATTTCTAATTTAAATTATAGAAAAATGATTTGTCTTTGATCCGAAAACTTCGTGTCCAGTCCGAAGCATACAAATTGTGTGCAGTTTATGAATAAATATATCAGTTCCAATTAATAACAATATGTACACAAACATTTTGGTCATTGTTCAATTGATCGTCCCCTTAAGGCAAACAATTACATACACACATACACACACAGGCACACACGATTGGCCATAATCCCTTAACAGGTCATAATTGGCAATCGAGTATAAAATATCGTGTCATATGTGTAACTGGGGGTCAGCAACAGCAGCAACAAAGGAACACAACAACGTTCATAAATCAAACACGCAAAGCCCCCAAAAACAATGTGTTTTGTGGGGCACACACTCATAAATACATGTGTCTAGTGTGTGTGTGTGTGTCAGTGTGTGTTGTAAGGAAACGCTTCGTTTTCATTGTGTAAATATTTAAGCACACAATAAAATGGAAACAATGGGTGGTATGCTAACCACATACACACACCTAAACCCCGCTCTACACCGGGCCGCAACCAAAAAAAAACCACACACACACACGGGTACAACAAAAGCATAGCAGGTGTCAAATGTTGCGGCCAAAGAAAAGGCAAAGTCAGTGTCGGTTCAGTTTTGGTTCAGTTGCAACCCCTCTGCCCCTCGAGACGCAACGTTCGAACTTATGACAGACGCAGACACACACGGACACACATACGGACACTGAGACTCGTCTTCGATTTGCACATATGTTTAAACATTTTACGTTAGTAAAACTCAAAAATTGCGTTGCGGAACTTTTGGTACGTGCCGCTCTGGACAGGCACGAAACAAGATCTGTTCTGGCTGCCAGCTGCCTGCCTAATATTAGTTGCGAGCACATAAAAAACAAATAAATTGTATGCGCCTCATTGGATTTTATGACTGCAGCAGAAATGATTTAAGGCACACACGCACACACACAAGGTCTGTGCTATTGGAAATTGTCATCTTGGGCAAGTTTACATTCAATCAGTTGGCGCAACTTAGCATGGCCAAAAAGTTCAAACTGATTTTAATTAGACGCCCAGGTAAGCTATTACCTATGTGCAACAGCAATAAAGTTTCTTATGGGGCGGATGTGCAGGTGGGAGGTGGTAGGGGTTGGCAAAACTTTATAATCGCATTGCACACGCAACTTTTTCAACTCAGCTCTCACTTAGCGCCGCTCGTTGACTCAATCAGTTTGCTTGGCAGCGCTGGAAATATTTTTGGAAACGAATTATTGACAATTGCAATTCAATTTCACACACAATTTGGCCAAAAATGTCGTCGTGCTTGTTGTCCTGGCTGTCGTTGCCACCGGAAATAGCAAAAAACTTTCCACCGAGTGCAGCTGAAAACTTTTTGCACTTCGTGCCGTCAGCAGCGTTCCATGGAAATGTTATTCAATGCTCTATCGAATGTTGCGCACAGCCCCAAAGAAAGTAAATAAATATCAGCGACAACAAATGCACAATAAATATGTGCATTCGTATTCCTGTCTCTGTCTCTCTCTCTCTCTCTCTCTCACTCTCTCTCTGTGTGTGTGTGTGTTTACACTTTAAAATATTGTGCCAAAACATTTGATTGAATGTGCCTCTGATTGAGATGCGAATTGTAAAAGCTTGAATCGAGTTTGCCATCGCCTTTGTGTCAGTTGCACGTTTCCAGGTCCCTCAATGGTTCGCATTTTTTTTTTAAATATATAAGGATACGCACCAGGGCTATAAGTACTCAATTATATTATTTGCACCCTTTCAGAGCTGCCTTTTATGCGCTCAGAGGTTCAGAGCCATTGAATTATTATCCTAACATTTTTAAAATATTTTAACAACCACAAAACTTAAGTAATTAAACCAACATCTTATTTGTGTTTAAGTCAAAACTAAATGATGCTCGTTGAAAATAAATTTTGTTTCAATTTAGGCTACATACAAATGCCCAAAAAAATCCCCTAGGACGAGAGAGGCTAAAGCCGAGGAAAATTCGTGAAATGCTACTTATACAAATAAATAAAATATAGATGGGGGTTTTGGCAGCCTACAAACTAGATGAAATGAGAATAAGTTGTCTAAACTAACTTTAAAATGTTGTAAACAACAAAAAATGGACAAGGACTTATGATAGAGGTCTGCAATAAATCAAATACTTCGCTCGGACTACGCTCGTACTTATTCAAAATACATACAAGTCCAATGTGCTTTCATTTGATATGCAAGCGCTTCGAA